ACACGGGAATCTCTTTCCCCATCTCATTCCAGTATTTGAATCAACACGTCAATGTAGTGCCATCAGATTCAGAGCAAAGCGCCTGTTCTGAACTTGGGTCTTTTATGCCCCCCTTTAAAGTGGAAAAGTAAATTCACGGGGCGAAGACATCCTCTGTGGTTTGTGGCTCTAGAAAAATGCAGGTTTAAATCTTAACAATTCACAGGTTTTGTGATTGAAAAAGTAAAAGTATTACAGATTGTGATTTCACAAGTAGTGTCTTAACAGTTGGTACTAGGGCTGCTCAATTAATCGTATTTTAATCGCGATTACGATTATGGCTTGCAACGATTACGAAAACAGCGTAATCTAAATAAAACGATTATTTTTTTATTATTATTACCTTTTTTTTAAATTATTATTATTTATTTTTTTTCAGTTGAATTATACTTAAAGTTCAGGGTAATCAACTGTTAAAAACATACTGTTCAAAAAGTGTTTCTCCAATAAGTTGATGTTTTCAAAGTCAATGAATAATCGCATTTAATAATCGCAATTACAATTATTGACCCAAATAATCGAGATTATGATTTTTGCCATAATCGAGCAGCCCTAGTTGGTACATTTTCAGCGTTTTCTCTCTGCTTTCTTTGAGGTACCTAATGTCCTGTTATGTAAGAAGCTCTTCCCATTGAAGCTTAATATTTGTGTTTTAAAATAGTTTACAGTATTTAGTTTGAGCTGCAGATTTATTATCAATCCACAGATTGCAATATCTGCATCATGCCATGAATGATTGTGAATGTACTGTATGTTGTACAGCCCAACTAAGCAATTGTTGCTTGTAAGTTGACACATCAGTCTGAATGAGAAGGCTTCAAAGCTTTACCGACATGTTTTATATGTATTTAGCTATGAGTCATCTCCTCTCAGATTCCATGTCTACCTTGATGCAGGCTTAAGCACGGCTGGCTGAGGGCTCTTCATCCACCCTGAGCTGCTCAGTGCATCACTTAGCAACAGTTACCCTGCAACACTGGCGGCCTGGCATTTATTGATTGTATTTTTGTTGCCATTATATGAATCTTTGGAGGCTAAGAAAAACATGGAGACACGATCCTGGGCGGTCTTCTGCACAACTGGCCCCTGAGCCTCAGAGATACAACAGCTGAGCATCAATTTAAACATTTTGATGTAGAAATAAAGCTGTTCTAATTTTGTGTATCATTTGTACCCTAGATATAGATGACATTTCCATCTGAGTATAGATCAGCTCTTTTGGCCCACAGTGCCTCGACTGCTTTTCCTGTCTTCTCTCTCGAGGAAAGAAGAATGTTTGTGTTGTCTGAAGGTTAATAGGAGTTTAAAAAAACGTCACAAAATCCATGTGCTAACAAACTGTATGCTAAACATAAAATGTGATACCATACCATGCTAAATCAAAGGCTTGTGTTTAAGATCAGTGTGTTCTTTATGGTATTGTATTACCCACCACATATACAATCATATAGCACGGATTCTTGTGAATGATAAAGAGTCATTTGTCAAATATACAACAACAAATGCTCTATATGGTAGAAATGCATTGAAATCAAATATGTTGCTCTTCTTTCACCCACTGTTTGGCCTACTTATGACAAGTGAGATTGAAAAAAGGAAGTCTGAGAACAAAACTAAGTGGGCAGAAGAACACTTCTACAAGGCGCTAGCTGCAGACTTTGACCCTCTAGAGCTGGATGTCTGCAGAATACAGATAATCAGTGCATGGTTACTCGCTACAGCTCCTGCTAACTCTGATACCTGGTTTGTTACAGCTACTTCAGGAGGGATGTTGGATCAAAATGTATCCGAGACTAACGTCATCAGTCTCAAATTGATTGATTCTTATTTCTCTTGTCTGCATTAACACATTTTGTTTGGTTTAGGGGCGCAAACAATGCATATTTGATATTGAACGAATGTTATCTCTTCTTTTGTCCTGTCAGGCTTTTTGCCCGCTTCCTTGTCTGCTTTCCAGAGAGCAAGGCAGGAGAGTGTAGAGTACATTTCCATAGAGATATGACATGCTCACCACACACTGTGCACGGAGAAACCATGCTCTATGCCTGTGGTGGGCCCAGCGTGAATGTTTTCCATACGCTATGGACACCATGGTAAAAGGTGTTGCTTATATGAACCATTCATCGTCATATAACCATTCAATTCACTGACTGAGGCTGCACTTCCTATAGTTGCTTTGTGAAGAAAAGCCTTCCATGGATACGCTGATGGGACGAGTTTGATGTGAAGTAGCAGATATTCTTTAGCTTGCATTAGCAACATCCTAATGATGTGTTCAAGTACGGGTGGGGGAAGGTGACAATATGTGTTTGAGACGATGTGAATGTTACATTACATTTCATTTAGCTGACTCTTTTATCCAAAGCAACTTACAATTACCGATTACAGGGACATTCTCCCTGGAGTAACTAAGGGCTAAGTGCCTTACTCAAGGGCACACTAGTGGTGGTGTTCCAGGCGGGATTTGAACTCACAACCTTCCAATCTTCTCACAACTCACAACCTTCCAATCTTCAGCCCACCTTCAGCCCACCTCACTATCCATTAGACCAGGGGTTCCCAAAGTGGGGGGGGGTCGTGAGACCCCGAGTGGGGGTCGCGAGATGATTACAAAATAAAAAAATAGATTTATTTATTTATTTATTTTTTAAAACATTTTCAGGGGCGGACTAGCCATCTGTATAATTTCCGAGAGTGCGGAAAACTGAAATTAATTCACTAGCACCCCACCACCACCACTACTATCTACTATCAGTTTTATCACACAATATATATTGATATTGCAAGATAAAACTACCCTTACCCTTCCCTTTATCAGACACTACTTAAAGAGGAGCCGATCTGAAGTGTGGCTACTTAATGTAGGAAATAAAATAAAAGTCCTCGAGTGCGGGTAAACACCGCTTCGAGGCGCATCATGACTCGGCAAATCATGACTCAGCAAATCATGTTACAAGCGATGGAAATAAGCCATGTTTTCTCTTGTCTCTCTGAAAGCTGAGGGAGACGCAGTACTAATGGGTTTTAAGTTCACTTGGTCAAAACATTGGACTAGCTTTTCTGTGATACTATAGCCTACAAATCAATATGGTTTTCATGTTTACAAATCTTTATATTTATTTTTCCACATTAAGGGTTTTTATCGATGACCCTAATGTTTGATATTCTTTATCCAAGTGAGTCAATACTGCTGGTGTATTTGCCTGTTGTAGATCAATGACTAGAAACTGCACACACTACGACGGATCACTTTCAAGATAGATTCACAATAGGGCTGCACGATATATCGTGTCGTGATGTTAATCGCAATATGCGCATGCGCGATATTCACATCGCAGGACGTGCGATTTAAAAAATAAATTGTAGGCAAATGAACTCAAACACGTCATGTTACAATTATTTTGCTACTTGCTAGAAAAAGGAAAACTTGCGCGGCTCTCATGTCAGGGGTACTTGAGTGAGTGACAGCAAACCACCAATCACAATCAAATCTCCAAAGTAAAACGGACCCGGTGTTTAAAGGTAAAAACACTGAATAAAGTAGTTTCATGTTTTTCTCCAGGGCAGTTCGGCGCTGCTAACCGAGCTAGCTCAGCTTGTTGCTCTGATAACTTAAGATCCAGATGTCCGTGACTAAAATCCTTCATCCGGTTAAATATAGTAAAAAAAATACCAATTGTATAGCATTAAAGTTCGAGAAAGGATGGTTTGCGGGGAAAAAAACTGTATTTTCTTCAATTCCTGTATGTTTTCATATCGCAATATATATCGCCCGGGGGAAAAAAATCGCAATGTCAGTTTTTTCCAATATCGTGCAGCCCTAATTCACAATTAATTTAAATATCATTGTTTATTGTTTTGTTTGTGTTAGATTCAGTAGCATACTCTCCGATTTTAGAAGTTTCTCTCTAGCCATGCTTTTTAACTGCATAACCACAACATGTTAATGGTGATGTACAGTTCATGTCATTTGCAGTACAATAAATAGGCTTACACTTTGAAGAGACAAGGTCATATAAACATCAATGTAATGATAATAACAGTCATCAAAAGTTGTATTCATTTTTATTATATGCAAATTGAAATTTGAAAAGTAGTTTTATTGGGTTGTAACAACATTAAAATGTTATGTTAGAGAAAGAGATTGGGAGGGCCTTTACGAAGTCAGAAGTGTTCATCAGTAGTGTGCATATCACATGACTGACCCTCAGTGTCTCTGTCAGCAGTTCTGTAATGCTGAACACACACCGACAAAGTGGGAAAGAGGCTGGAGAAAAGGCTGATACCAGGACACATAAAGCTTAATCATTTCCTCACTGGGTCCTTCCTTTCCGCCCCTGTATCTCCTAATCATGATTTCCCTGTTAATAGATTTGACTGTGCTATTGGCTCTTTGTTGGTCCGGGTGGGAGAGTTCATACTTGCTACCATAAAAGCATGTTTGTAAGCTGTGCCTGTATGTGAAATTGCTCCATATATTAAAATGAAAACAGCATGTAGTCTATAAAATGCACAAGAAAAACATTAATTCAACCGCTTCAAGCACAGGATAACTTGAAATTGGAGTAGTTTGGTGTAACCCTAGTAAGTTGTGCACCCCTGGCGTATTAGCTGTATACCGGGAAGCTCACAAGAGTTTGATTCCAGACATGTTTCTCACAGCAGCCCATCCCTCCAAGCTTGTCACAGGAAGCAGTGTATAGCTGGCTACAGGGTTGACCATGAGCGGGGGGTTATGTCAGACGGCTGAATAGCTGGATTGTTCTGTAGTTTCAAATCCGTTGGATCTGTCTGAATGAGCATTCCTATTGAGAACAAAGTGGCTGAATTAAACTTGAAGGAGAACCCAAAGAAATTCTGTTCACTAGGTAGTATTTGATATCCCAGCTTTGCAAGACACGACATGATGTGGCTGTAGTTCTTGGTTTTTTAAACTGCGGATGTGTGTGTGTTTCCTACAGCTGCAGCTGCACAGGCCCAAGCTGAGGAGCGGCGCAGCCTGGCAGATAACAGCCCAGGACCTACAACCAACGCTCCAGCTAAACCTCAAGGGAACAGGCCAGGTAAAAGACACCACATGGTGACACAGAAACACATTGGTTCCCACAGACACTGCCCTGTCACCGCTCTATTGTATTCCATAATCTGAACCATTAGCTGCAACACAATCCACTTCCAGCCCCCTGTCAGTGTAGCTTACTGCAGGTGAAGCTTAGTCATTATCTTATTACTACAATGACAGTCACATGCACACGCCTGCTTCCTGATTCAAAGCTGTTTGTAACGCTGGGCTGCATTCTAATTCTCTCCTTTGTTTTCTGAATATGCGCTGCTGATATGTTTTACCTTTTTAACCACATGAATACATGTATGTGTTTGCAGTCATTGACGGTGCTGCACTTAGAATAGACGACCGACTGCGAGTGGCAAAAGAGAGGCGAGAGGAGGCAGAGAAACAGCAGGGTGAGTCGGCTATCCGACTATCAGCTATGGGCTCTCAGTTCCTGTTTCAAATGATTTTAGCCGTAGCTTTAGAAATCAAACTATAATGCATGTCTTTTCTTCCTGCATGTACGCACATATCGTATGTGTGATCAGCTTTGCGAGACTCTCATATCATGGATCGGGAGCGCAAGGCCAAGATGCAAGTGGAGCGTCAGGTGGAGGAGCGACAGAAAAAGCTTGACGAACAGAAAAGAAAGGAGGAGCAGAAAAGGTTGGCTGTGGAGGAGAAGAGGAAGCAGAAACAGGAAGAGGAGAAGGTAGCTGCAGTCTCTCAGCAGGGCTTATGTTTGCTCATTTGACTCGTGTGGCTAAAATCATTCAAATGTCATCGAAACACAGGTTTATGTTGCAGAGTTTCCTTTGTATATATTTTTAAAAGAGAGGAAATAATGTGAATAAGGACAGTGTAAAAGGCAAATATAACAACTATTTATAATATATATTGTGGTTATGACATTGTTTAGTCCTCTTCACTTATACGGCTAAATGAATTGTAAATATCTCTTCCTCTATGTGATGCTGAAGGAGCACTATGAGGCAGTGATGCGGCGGACTTTAGAGCGCAGTCAGCGTGTGGAGCAGAGACAGAAAAGATGGTCCTGGGGGGGACTGTCCACAGACTCTGATGGACGGACAGGTAGAGGCCCTTCCTTCACCCGTATACAACTCCACCCCTTTCTATTCTGTTACCATGGTGCATTAAAGGGCCAGTAAGGTTACATGGAAATCTCAATGCTAGACATGAGAGTCGTCACGTTGATAATGGGATTATGGTTTATCAAAGACGCAATTCTATCCAGACACATGCAAGCTATTGAAAGCTACTTTTTGCCAGACAACACCCGTAGCTGTATTCTGTTAAAGTGCTCGCCAGCTGGTACACATGACACTTGGCCTGAACGTTATCATCTTAGGCAAAGTACTAGCTTCTTTTTCATAAATACAGAGAGGTGACTGTGTCTTTTTTTTTACTGTGATTCAGACCAAAGTAACTTGTGATGCCATATTCACACAAATATGTTTATATATGTTTTTCATTTGTAGGGGCAGCCGCATCTTTAATAACTTTGATGTTAGCAGCTAACGGGTTATCAGTCAAGAATTATTTCTTGATTTATTTATTTCCAATGAATAGCTCCAAATCTGAATCCCGAAGCGACAAAGAGAGTCCCTAATAAGACCGCTAAAGTGGATTTCTAAACAATCTTATTAAGTCAACACTCAAATTGTTACTCTATCTTGCTGACAGTACTGTCAAAATGTCAGCTGTATGCAAGCCTCGCAAGATCAGAATATATAATTGAATATTCTGTCAAACTCTCACAACACTACCTGCATGTGAACACTCAATGCCACTGTACAATCACTCTCACAGTTGGAAGTTGCAGAAATCTGAATAACCTTTGTAACTATGAAATACGTGGGTAATTTAAATGACATTTTGTTTATATAGTGGAGGTACTATCTGATGACTCTTTGGCCAATCCTCTTATCGGTATATCTTGTGATTTCGTCACTGGGGTGTCAGGCAAAGGCTAGAGGGCTACCAGCCAGGACCCCCCTCTTGTCTCTCTTGTATGAAGGATGTGCCTCGGCTTCTTGTGTTTTACGGCTCCTCTCTGAGAGCTGTCTTTCCCCACAGGAGACTCTGATGCCGGTGCCTCCTCTCCAGTAACTATAGTTATCTCCCCTGCCTCGCCAGAAAAGCCTCCAACGAGTCGACAAGGTTTTGTTTGTTGATAATATGCTCACCAATGTAGCAACACAGCATGGACTGGCACTCTAGATATCTTGGTTACCTTCTATGCTTTCCACAGCCCCCCCCCCACCAACCCCCACCTGCAGTCTAACTGGCAGCTTTTCACTAACAGTTTTTGTATGGGTGGCCTGTGTTCTGAATGTGCCTTTTTTTGGGGTGAAAAGCTGAAAGTGAAGCTTTAGGATTTTCACTCACTCACACTGTCAAGCACCTCCGGCTCACACGGCGACTTTGCATGGAAGTCCAATCTAATGGCACACAAAGAACACCACTAATATCAGCTCTGGATCCTGTCGTGTTCGTGATGCTCTTTGTAAGTGTTTGTTGTTCACTAACCACCGTGCTTTGCTTTAAAACCACAACCACTTCGTTATGGTTTGACAAAAATGTACATTCTCATGTTAAACATGATATTTATCAACATATTCATGCTTTATATCATGTGTTTTGCTACGTGTGCATCACTAAATGTGCACTGCATTAGAAGCACGTTAGATCAATGGGTAAGGGGGGGACAGTATATCAGGGATGTAGCTGCTATGTTTTAATCTTAAGAATAGTAATGAAACAGCATATATCCCTTTATTACGATCTTGCAGTTCCTTGTTCTCCCTTGTGTGCAACCTCCCCCATCGGGCCAGCTCTAGTGTAAACCCCTCCTCCCTTGTCTGTCTCTCCTCCTCCCTTGTAGTTGACAAGCGCTCCACATCCACCATGAACCTGAAACAGATGTCCGAGCCTGGCATCAGTAAACGCCTATCCTCCTCCTCTGCCACGCTTATAAAATCTCCCGACAAACGTAAGTCTCCTCTTTTCCCTCTCTCCTTCTCCTTCCCTCCCTTCCTCCCTTCATCTGGCTGACCCCCTACCCTCCCTGCCCTCCTGTGCTGTCTCTAAACCAACAGATCTTGGTCCAAACAGACTTATTATCAGCCAGGTTTCTAATGTTTAAGTTCTACCAGGTGAAAAAAAACCAAATCCTGGACTGATCTCTGATTCTTGTGCTCTCCATGTCCAGGACTTTACACACAGGCTCACTGGAGCACTGACAGACTGGTAAACTCACGTTAGCTCTCTGTCTCCGTTCCTGCTAATGACAAGTATGCTACTTGCCTTCTAAATCCATATTACAAAGGCATCTCTATAAAGCATTGAATCAAATTTCATTTTCAAATGTTCCGAATCAGAAGGGGATCCAAGCACCAGCAGGTGATTCATTCATAAATGTGCTCACAGGGGTAAAGTAGCCTGTCACAGTATTCCTAATAATCATATTTCATTCACAAAAATCAACACAATTAGCCGATTTTGACCTTTCACTATAATTTCACTGGACTGCCAGTTCCTTTTCTGTTTTTTGATATTGTTGATTCTCTTTCACTCTCAACCTCATATTTCAGCTTTTCTTTCTCTAGGCCTTTGAGAATATCTTTTAAGAAGTCCGAGATACTTTCTTCCTTTCACAAGACATGACTAAATTCCCCGTTGGGTGTTTCATCATTGTCTCCCAGGTGTTAAGCAGAGGAGTTCGTCTTGTAACCGGTTGCCTAACAATGGCAATGCTGCTCAGGCCAGTAAGGAAGACGGCAAAAAGCTTCAGGTGGAACCGACAGGTGCAAACAATTCCAACAATATGCTTTTGTAACAAAGATGGTGTACTCTGCACAATTTAGCAAACCACCACAGTTTATATAGAAAACCTAAGCTTTGTCACAGGTATGACAACTACAAAGCAGGCTGACTTTTTACATGCTAAAGGATTACACACTTTTTGAATATTACAACTGGGTACCTGCATCATGTCCTGAACTATTCTCACATTGGGAAGTTAGCCCTCTCCTCTGTATACTTGTGTGTACGTTATCTATTTAGACTTCACGTCAGCTGCTGTCTGCCCTAGCCCGGTGAGCGCACATGACTTGTAAACTGTCTTTGGGGATTCCTTGTGGACTCCAGTGCCTGCTTAGCTGTAACTCCACTCTCATGTCCGTAGGCCGTTCCCTCACGAAGAGAAGTTCCTCCCTCACACGAGTAAGTGCGGGCAGAGCACAGACTCCTGCCAAGCCTGATAAGGGGACAACGGATAATCAAGGTGGCTAGCATGAACCATCGGCAAACGTTTTTTTTTCTAATGCCACTATCTGCATCACTCAGGCAACCCCTTTTTTAAATAACAAGCATGTCGCTCTCATGTTCACAGCTTGCTCACCCTGAATTTTGCTCGGATTTTTTAAACTTTAACAGCACTGTCGGCTACTAAGAGGTTTTGGGATAACACATGGCTTTGTTCAGTGTCATCGGCTTTATTTGTCCTTATAAACGGGCCAACTCTCCATGTGTCTCCTTTTCTTCTGTCTACGTTCTCTTCCAATTAAGCCTTGCTCACTGACTGCTGAATTATCCCTAGGCAGCTGCTAAGCCTCTCTAAAGTGTGTGTGATTTACTGGGAACACTAGGTATGCCTTAACCTTCCTGCTAATTGAACCTACCAGATCTCTTTCCGTGCCTGACTGTGCCATGTTTCTTACTGACAGATTCTCTTTCTCTTTTAACCTTTTTTTAATTGTTTTATCAAGGAATGGTTATGTTGTGCTGTGCCTGCACTAACACAGTGAATTGTTGTGTTGTCACAAAGTATTGATTGTTTTCTCCCTCCAAGATGACGTCATATTTCAGTCTCTAGGCTCGTGCTCCAGCGTGGTGTTTGTCAGTGCCATCCCACCATTGCACCCCCAGAGCACCGGAATAATCACAGCAGCTCACTGCAGTCTGTGTATAACCATTAACCACCAATGCTTTTGTTTGTCCTATAGCTATGTCAACATTCGTGCAGACCATCAAATGTTAAAATGTTCTTGTTTTGTATATGTTTGTTTGGTGTGATTAACCTATACAGATAATACAACACGCTAAAATCATTCATTCTGATTTAATACTTATAATCTGAAAAAAATAAACACTTCTTTACGCCATTTAACCCCAAAAGATAACCCATATATCTTATGATAACCTTAGCTCGGACTAATAACCCAGATTGTGAGTACCTGGGTGAAAAGCATCTTGCTGTGCTGCCAATCTGCAACGGCTAGCACTCAACCGCTAACAAACAAGTCTGTCTGCAACAGATGTCTTCTCAGTAAGGGGCTCCAAAGGGAAGTGTGTGTGACTCCTTTTTAAAGAGATAGCATTCAGGGACATGTGGCAAAATCAACCCATCAACACTTTTAACTCATCTCGTATAATATCTGCTTTGTAGCTTAGGTAGCGGCGACGGCCTAAATCTGGAATTGGCTAATTCTTTCATTTCATGGAAGCAAGAACTCTTTGTTTCTGCTGTGAAATCAATGTCCACCACAGTGCTTTCATAATGAGCTGACCGTTGAAGTCAGCCTTCTTTTCTTAATCAATTTTGGCCCATATTTTATATTAAATATGGAAATGTTTCCCAGCAGAAGCTAAAAGAACTTGCCGGGCCACGGTCACTTTTAGGTTTTTTCACTACCCTATAGGTTTCCTCTAATGACTCTTTGAAGTTCACTAATGAATTGTTTTTTCCCATCAGCACGCCTCCCTAAACCTTAAAGGACCATTGATTTGACCTCATTATCTGACTACTGTTTTAACTGATCTTCAGTAACCAATCAGTCAGTCTTTGGTCTGTCTCAGCACTCTTCCATGGCGTCCTTTATCCTCATTTAATATCACTGAAAGTTAACAGGACCTTGATAAGGAGCCCATGTAAGACTATTGACACACAACCTTTGGTTCTTAATGTTGATTCTTTCCTGTTGGTTAAATCACCTGGTGAATTCTCCAAACTTAATTGACCCCCCCTTCCCTCCTTTTGTTTTACTTTCATCCCCCATTCTCATCCCCTCTTTCCTTCTTGGCCTCTTTGTTCTCTCTTTTTTTCGGGTGCTTCTTTGGCCGTGTAGCTCGCAAGGCAGCGGTCGGCACTGTGGACGGAGGGGTCCTTAGTCGCCTGCTCACCCCCACCCAGGCCTCACTAGCTAGGAGCAAGAGCGCCGCCGCCCTGTCAGCTGAAGGAACAAATGCTCCAGGTAACCTAGGAGACCCTGACGGAGAGAAAGGATGGCTAGACAAAGACCCTGCTGCTCCCTAGTTACATCATTTTACCAGTAGCAAATCATCCCAGTATCACTTCACTACATCCAAACTCATTCCCCAGACATTGTCCTGCTGTAAGGATCCTTTCAAAGCAAATGGTTGCCTCTTGGTGGTGGGATTACAGAAGTCGCTGCTCCCTGTTTTTAAAGTCGCTGTAAACAATCAGCTGTTAATGCTTTATGTACGGTTATTATTTGCAACAAAGTACAGTCATGTGAGAGAGCATAGTTACAAATATTGACACACACACACACACACACACACACACACACACACACACAGGTGCAGCTCACATGCAATCTCTGACACAATTGGCTGTTGTGTGCTGAGCTGAGCAGGTCTGACTTGGCTGGGAGCATGTCTCTGCATCCGAGGAGTCTCCGGGTCCATGCTGGGAGATTTGCTCTAAGCTGCTTACCTGTTGGTTCTTGTTACGTCAGAATGAGACTGTTGGGCTCTTGCATGTGTTCTGGTGGCGAGACTAAAGCGCTGGGGACTCCAGTACACGTTGCTGAAATAGGGATAGCTAGCATATTCCGTTAAATATGAGGGCTTAAAGTCACACTATTCAAATTCAGTATGTCTCAATTCTGGCACTGGATTTGGTGCTGATATTTTGTAGTAAGAATATTGCCATCTAGGTGGCGTTGAGCATCCCACAGGAGGACTTGCATGTTGTTCTTCATGTGTTGTTGTACAATGCGAGGGACCTACATTAGATAAGGCAGCGGTTGAGAATATACAGCGCAGGCCTCTGGTATGAACCCCCTGACACACACTGATGAACACAGCATTTTTCTTGTTCACTTTTTTTTTTGGATGGAAAGTAGCATACTGTGAAGCACTGACTCACTTCAACGCTGCAACTGTATTTCCCGTGATGGTTTTGGGCTGTTGTGTTTATTGACCAGCCATTACAAACCCATTAGCAGCTATAGATCTCCTGCTAAGTATCGCCCCAGCAGAGCGAAGACACATCACATTAAAAGCAGCATTCATAGCCCATGATAGGGGACATTTCGTGGCTGCTCAGTGCACAATCGGAGTGAATTACAAAACACATTTGTGAACAGGCTGTAGCAGGGAGTGTTCTCCAGGTCCAGGATTATCCACGGCTAATCCCTCAATCTGACACAGCAAGCTCAGAGCCAGCGGACTACAGTCTTTACTCTCCTTGCTAAATACAGGAGACATTAAACTCGTGGTAAGGACAGTCATTTAACAGCACAGTGTCTACATTGTAGACGGTCGTGTTTCCAAACTACTCCGATGTGTTTCTGAATTCTGTAGTTACTGTAAGGCAGTGTTTGTGCCAGAGATGGCTTTGTCCTGCTATGAAAAATGTGGCATTCAATGTCAGATTTTAAATCCAGAACGTTAGAGTATTATGGCACGAAGAATTCTAAAGTCTACTACTCAACATTTGTTGTTACTTTAACTGAACACAACACTCGACACGATCAACATTCATTGTGTGTTTAGTGTACTAATGAATCTGTGTGATGTGTGTGTTGTATTGTGTTGGTGGTAGGTTTTGTGTAGTGTGTGCTGTGCTGTGCTGTTTGGTGTGTTCAGGGGCTGGAAGTGTCTGGGGTTTTTGTGAGACTGTTGCTCTCTGCCCCTCATGTCTCCTGTGGTCTTCAAAAAACGGTTTCCTGCCTGATGTCATGTGCTATTTCTAACAAATCGCTTTTCTTTGTGCTCTTGTCCCCTTGATAAAATGCTCTTTCACTTCTTCCAAACATCATCTGCCCTCCCTTCCTCCCTCCTTTCTCCCTCCTTTCTCCCTCTACTCCCTTCATTTGTCTTTCCTTTGACTCTTTGCTGCTTTGCTGTCCAACTCGACCGCTTTTCACGCCTCCCATTGGCTGTGCTTCCCTGGCCATGCGATGACTGTGTCCTTTACCAGAGTGTCACCTGTGTCCTCGCTCAGCCTCTGCCAGTCCCCTGAACCCACCGCGGGGGGGCCCCGTGCGCAGCCGCAGCATTGACCGGCAGAAGAGCGGCATGACCACCTCGGTGTCGGCCGACGGAGCCCTCGACCCTTCAATGGTGAGAACACCTCTTTATGCTAATGTGCCTAGCACCGCTGAACTACGCAGAAAACAATTGTCCTTGTTGTTATTTACTAAATGGAAAGCTTTCTCTGCCGATAGTTGTGTGACTTCCTGAAAGTCCTCCCTCTGCCCTTCTCCGTAAGCTGGTTCTATTACCCTTTACATACATGTATATTTCTATGGCTATGCTAATGATTATGCAAGTACTTATCATACATGTGTGTAAAATGACTATGCAGGAGGTGTACCTCAGTGTGATGCTGCATGGTACGGTATCGAAATCTGTTTGCTAGATTTGAACTGTTGCTATTTCCGATAGAACCGTGGTCTCAAGGATAATGTTGAGTTATTTTATAGCCCTTTGTCAGTCAGTCAGTTTGCATTTACTGATGGAGTAACCTGGCGTTAGATGGCATCTTCTAATCTGGAAATATCGAAAATCGAAAAATATTTTCGATTTTTTTAGCAAATGAATGACATTCAGGTTTTAAGGATGAGTAGGATACTTTTTTTTTTTGTATAAACATAATTTAGAGAATATTGTACAGTATTATGTAATTTCCTCAGTTTATAATTATGCTTTACATGAGAAAGTCGTTTAATTTGACTTGGAAAATACGGGTAGACTATAATTTTTTTGTTGTGGTTCACTTAATTGAATTGTTGATAGCACTTGAGAGACACCGTTTGACAGCACAGAGATGTCTCACATGGGGACAAGAAGTGCATGCTTTCCTGAATTGAAATGACGTGCTTGCTGAAATAAGCCGATGGCACCAAAGACTCTGATTTATGTGCTCATATCCGGCCTCATTTGCCTGTCAAAGTATTTCTGCAGGCGGAGAACAGTAGGGAAATGTTGTTCCTGCTCCAGCTGTTTGACCTTTGCTGGTCGATCATAATAGAAACGTGTTCGGAAATTGCCAAAACGTTACCCTGCTTACTGCTACTACTTTATCCAGGGACATTTTCTCTGAGTTACTCTTCTCTAAATAAAGGTTAACTATGTTTAAGCCACCCCCCAGAGAAATGAAGCAAGCTGAGCTGCAGCAATGTGTCTGCACTCAGAAGGGCTGTCGTAGGCCTCGGCCCTAGAATCAACACCAAACAGAAAAGCTTCTGTACGCTGTGTATTCCAGTGACGTCACTAACTGATCATGAGCTGTTTTATTTCAGTGCTCAATAAGCTTGAACAATGTGACACAACACTCCTTGATGAATAACAGACCTAAGCTACTGAAAAGCTATTTGATTCAGAAAAAAACACTTTCCACCAAGCTGCTGACAAATGTGGTTAAGCTAGTAACTGCTTCTTTCTAACGCTGATCATCATGGGTGATGGTTCAGGTTCCCTCACTTTAGTCTCTCTCTCTCTCTCTCTCTCTCTCTCTCTCTCTCTCTCTCTCTCTCTCTCTCTCTCTCTCTCTAACCCGACCATTTTCCTCTCTGGCTGTGAAGGGCCTCATTGTCATCCCATGAGACAAAGGGATCCACAGTGGCTGGATTATAAAAAGATCAGACCATGCAAAGCAGACCCACCCTGACTCTGAGGCCTCTTCTCTCCTGGCCATTTCATTGTCTTTTCTCCTCCACACGCACAAACTGGTGTGGAGGTCATTGAAATGCACAGCTGATTGCTCACTCTGATACACTGAGTTAGGCTTTGTTACTACAGGCGGGGTGTTTCAAAAGGTATATTAGAAAACAACAATAATCGTGGAAAATTAAACTCTGTAGGTCGGCTGCATGCTTACTCGTTTCCATGTTTTGCTTATTAAAGGATATTGTTATTGGGAAATGACTTTAGTGCAATGCTTCGAGATGGCTTCTGGTTACCGCTCTGGCTCCAATACCATATTGACTTAAATAGGAAATGAAAATGTTGTCCCTGACTCCTTGTTAGAAACTGCTCCAATTGGTTATCTTAACAAGACTTTGATTGTGTTGTAAACTCTATTGTAAAGGTGGGGCCATTTCTTACATTTCCCTCCTGTTCAGACCTGCCATTTACATTTGCTTTGTTGATCCATCACAAGTGGCTTCAAGTCAGTTCACATCTCACATTATTGGACTTATCCGGTGACCACTTTGTGTTGAGAATAAACACCTCATTCCTGTTTGCATTAAGTAACTAAATACATATTCTAGCTGCAAAGAGCATTGGATAAGAGCGGGCGGGCGGGTGTCAGATATCGGCAGAGCACTGAAATAAAAATCCCTGACACATCACAGGAACTATGATAATAGATTCTCTCTCTGTGGTTTCTGTGACGTGAGATCGTTTTTTTGTAACTTATTTTACAGTACAGTTAAAAACAATATATACAGAGCTCAGACATTGTGGACAAAGTGATCGATTGATTTCCGCACACTGAATTTGAGTTCTTTCAATGTGACCCACAATCCATTAGCGTACATTAGTGATGGGATCACAAAAGACGCATGTTAATAACTGGTCTGAACGTGCAGCACTGAAGGCTTGGCTGGGACAGCACTGTATATTTTCCTCTGTGTGTGTCACATGGTTGACCTTGCTGTGCTCTCTGTCGTCATGTTTGCGGTGACCAACATAGCACATGAGCATTAAAAATAGATGAATTAAACCTGATCCACGGCTCCTTCACAACAGCATTGTGTCACTGTTTGAAGCTAGTCAAACCTGGGGAGGCGGGTTTATACAGAATTCAATCATCCATGTTCCTTCTATTGATACTTACTATAATAATAATAATAATAATAATAGACTGCTTGTTTTTTGATATTTTCTTCATCAATTTTGATTTATTTCTTTTACACAAAAATATAAAAATATAATTTATTACTTATTAAGATGCAATGAATGCTGAACAATATTAGGGACATTTTTAAAGGTTGTGATAACAATATTACTTGCAGTAAACAGATATTAAAATGCACTCAGTTCTCAGTCCTGCCATTCTGAAGCTCAGTAAACTGCATCAAAAAACAAACAATTGCTTTCCTTAAAGGTGACCTATCATGCAAAATGCACTTTTGTACTTCTTTTATACATGAATATGTGTCCCCGGTGTTCCAGGGAACTCACCAAGTGTCAGAAAACACAACCCTTTCTATTTTCCTCCATACCCACATCTCTTAAAAAGGGGCTGCAACGGATCTGATACAGACTGATCCAGATTTGAACACTTCTATGACGTCACAGAAGTGACGCTACGGCTATTGGGCCAACTCCACCAATCAGGAGGAGACAGCCACGGACATTGCCGTTCGAAAGCGCTGGAGATGCTGTAGTACATATGCCAGGCCTGTAGATGGTGCTGTTCTCACA